AAATATATAAAAAAAAGTGATATAAATAATTAGTGTATCAATATTATAATAAGTTTAAGAAATCTTTTAATACTCTTTGATAAAAATATGTAAAACTAAAATTATTTTACCAAACTTAATCTATTTGATTTAAAACATAATTAATTCTAAGATTAAATTAAAAAATTTTCATACAAACATATAAAGTAAAAAAAATAATTATTGCAAAAATAGCATCAAATAGAATAAAGATAAAAAAATTTCCATACAAATTAAAAAAAATTTCCATACAAATTAAAAAAAATTTCCATACAAATTAAAAAAATATACAAATTAAGTAAAATATAATTACAAAATAAATAAAAATTTTACAAAAATTACACCAATTGTCATTATTCAACTTAAAACTTTTATCCTCCAAAATATCTGTAGAAGTCAAAGTATTTACAAAATTACCACAAATTCAAACTCATTTTTAGAGAGACAAAAGAAGAGAAGAAAGAGAAAGGAAGAGAGTTGAGTTGGCTCTACCCTCCATAGATACTACTAAAGATTTTATTCTTCATATATTTAATATATTTGAACAGGATGTGAATTAGAGTTACTTACCATCTACAGAGTAACTGACCCGAGATAAATCTGTGTTGAGAGCTTCTAAAACTGGGTTCACTGCATGAAGTAAGCAAAATTAGCCAAAACATTTTGCAACTAAAGAAAGATACGACCAAGAAATGGAAAGGCATATGCACAATTGGAACTCAAATTAAAAGAATTTGTTTCTGAAGTACCATGATATACAAAAACAACACAATGGTTTTCCTCATCAATTTGAAAATAACTGTTCCCTCCACATGAAGCGCTCCGCCACCGCAACTCAATTCCATATGCTAACCAATGATGGATGTCCGGATAGGAGAGGTTCTTGTAATTCGTCCCTGGTACCGCTGGTATAAGTGTCCCTAGCTCAATACGGCATGAAGGTTTTAACTCATGTGGAGTTGTGATTCCAATTTTCACATAATAATACCTTTTGCCTTCAGATTCAGGCCTATAAGGTGTGAAGAAAGTGCTGCCGTTAATGCAGGCAGGAGCTTCCACATAATACGGAGCATTTACAAGATTTTCACAACTTACGAATAGAATGTCCACCGTTTCAGGTTGATAACGAAAAGGCGTTTCGAAGTCCCGGGAATATTGAGGTATGGAGCAGCTCCCTTCCTTAACACTAGCGTCAGCTACTCGAATTGTTTGATTGTCATAATTGATTGCTTTCACGTAGAATTTTCCTGATTTATAACGCAGTATTGTAAGGTTTTTCTCACAGGATAGAGAATATACTGAAAATCCAGTCTCTCCACAGTGAGGCGAATCTGTGTTTAGTCTGAAAGGGTAGCTAATATTCAAAATATTTCCACAAGAAGAAGGTGGACAGTAATGTTTGTCTTTGGCACTGCAGGTCTCATGAATTAAGGCGAGAAGAAGAAAAAGAGCAGCAAAGATGACGTCTGGTCTAGGCATGGTGGGGGGCAAAAGGTGTCGATAACTTTAGGTCTTTAAACAGTCTTGTGGTTCACAGAAAAATTACAATAACTTCTTGGTCTTAAATAACCACACACACACTCTTCACCCCCACAAATATATATATATATATATTTTTTGTGGAACTAAGTAATTATGAGGGAAAAATTACAATAACTTCTTGGTCTTAAATAACCACACACACACTCTTCACCCCCACAAATATATATATATATATATATTTTTTGTGGAACTAAGTAATTATGAGGGAAAGGATTACAAGTGTGGTCTGGATTTGAACTCTACACCATAGTGGCAATTCCTTGTGGTTGGCCTCCAGCTC